ATCTGTGCTATTGTATGCATTATGTTTGACCCAACATTTCTACAGGCATGGCAGAATATGGAACTATTTTTACATTAATATTCTAGCCATTGTCTATTTTTATACCACGAGCTGCAAAATGACCGCCTAACCCCACTGTATAGGTGAGTTGTGTACTTGTTTAGATACTGTATACCTGGGCAGGCTCTGTTTTGCCGAGGTCCCCTGGCACCGGTGGCGTTGTTTCTGGCGACGAGGACTGCTGCTCCGGGGGCGAGGGCAGCGAGTCGGCCGGGAGTAAGCTAGTGTCCACAACGGAGGGTAACGTGATGTCCCCATCCGACCTGTTGCTACTGTCTGCAGTAGATGCAGTGGTGCTGGCGTTTAGTGATGGTTGCTTTAACCATTTTCGTATAAATGATTATCCACAGATGTGTGTCACTGCTGTGGAAGCACTTTGGAAATGATGCAGGCGCAGCGGAGCAGGCCACGCGCACCTGACACAATTTATATTGTATTGTATTCTATTATTGTTGTTCGCTCCCTTCTCTTTTTTGAATAGAGGGTGCATAACATTCAACTAGGGGTGCAATGCATGCCTATGCACCCCCGTAGAACCGGGCCTGGTTAGCTGGCCAGCTCTATTGTTGTTTATCAATCGCTAAGAGATGTCCCACCCCTTAGCCCCTATATCACGTACAATGTGTTGGAGCGCTAGACATTAGAATCATGAGTGTTGCATAGTGATGTCAGGAAGTGAATACTATACAATTGGTGCCGCTTGTCATGTGTCATCTTTAGTTATAGAGCATCTTTGTGACAACTGAGCAGTGGTAAAACATTGCCTGGTCCCCCCTATTGTGGCTGCATCTGTGTGTGCTTATCTACTGTAACTTGTGAAATGTGTGTTTCACAGATAATCACAGCTTGTCTGTCTGGCATTTATATTACAAAAACGACTACTACTTGACACATTGATCAATGTTTCTGCGACCTTTCTTAAACTGAAGCCACTTCACCTACCAGCCTCATTTAGGCCCATTCACAGCTATGTCTGTAATGTGCAAAGAGAGGCTTACAGTTTCCCACATTAACAGCATTTCATATCCCAGTGTGCAATGATGTGTAAACCTTAAGATATTATCACATTCTGACCCGCATTACAAATTAGATAATGTGAGTGTGTGTTTTTAAAAAAAAGCATCATAAATCTCTTAATGTGTCACAATTAACCATGGCAGTGATGCCTGTAAGCTAGATGTTATTTATGATAACAAAAAGTATCCGTAATATATTTCATCCCTCTTAATAACCCATTATCTGTTGCTGAAATGATCCGTCACGCCCTGAAGAAGTGTATCTGCTCCTGTGTCTCGTGCAACCGAGATGTTGTGTGTGGTCCATACTTAGCGTAGTGCAGCAGGAACAGGAGGACGGTGATGAATTTCAATAAGCTTCTTTAATTTCTTTTCAGGAAGTTATTTCACGATCTGTTGGCAAAGTTCTGTTAATCCATCCGGTCCCAGGAGGTGGAAGTGACACCTCCTGTTAGCATATTGATGTAGCAAACCTAGAGGATTGTTTTATGTCTGTTCTACTAATTTAAAATATGCAGGAAAAAGTCAATGACAAATATGAGTCACTTTGGAAAAACAATCGTAGGGGTGGGTCTGTGTAGATAAGTGTCTTTGTGATATTGAGGGTACAAGATAATTTCATAAAATGTCAAACTATTGCTTCAGTCATACCATGAGATAAGAAAATCCTTTATTAGTCCCACAGCAGGAAGATTTGCAGTGTCACAGCAGCAAGGGGGATACTGCAATAACATGAAGTGTCTGTACAAACAAAGCAAGATACAATAAATAAGTAAACCATTCTAGCAATATATAATAAGTAGACAGACTGAACGGCTGAAGAAACTGTACCACTGGGGGGCATTGCAACAATTTGTAGCACTGGTATTAATTAATTAATGTTGTTGAGGCAAACTTGTTGGCATAACATGCCCAGCAGACACAGAGAAACATCATTAGCTTCATGTGGATTCCTCTTTCTGGCCACTTAGTGGATACAACTCAATATTCACTCTACTTTTAGATGTGTTTTGTTTTGCCTCTAATAACTCCTGGGGGACATTTTGGGCTCATAAACTGTAAAATGCTTAACGATGTTCATCACATTTGGTGCTGGCCAGGTATCTTAACATGAGATAATCAGAGCATTGCTAGTAAAACCCAAAATGCAACAAAAAGAAGAACAACAACCATAGTGCTGACGCTCATCTTTGGAGACATCACTTCAGGTGAACTCTTCACATTAAACATATTTATTTTATTCATGGTAATATCATATATATGTATTTGTAACCAAACTTTATAGGGGCCCTATTACACTCATTTTCAGATTTCATATCCGTATTTTGTGCCTCCACTGTGACATGTCTCCATGCTTTAATATTCAAGAAGGTCATTATTTTTCTTCTCATACTGCCTGTGCTGCTGCACCTCTTTTCACCCTCTGTCTGAAACCAGAGCCCAGTCTGCTCTGATTGGTTAGCTGGCCGGCTCTGTTGTGATTGGTCAACCGCTAAGAGATGTACTGCCCCTTAGCCTCTCACATACAATGTGTTGGAGCGCTAGTCAATAGAAGTGCGAGTGTTATATAGTGATGTCACTATGTAACAAAGGAATCCATAGAGTCGTTTCAGGCAGGGGGGAGTGTGTGGGAGAGAAACTCCCTCTGGAGGGATGGGATTTTTACCTTTGGAGACCATTTACATTCACAAAAACCTATGTAACACACTACAGGAAAGGGAAAACCCCTAACAGCATAATAATAATAATAATAATAATAATAATAATAATAATAAGGGCCCCTTTAACTATCGAGGTAGCTGATCAGAAAACGTTTTCATGGTCATACACTGCTGCTCTTTAGCTGACTAAGAAAAAGAACGACAAAAGAGATAAGCAGAGGATTTAGGATCAATAAAGTATCACATCACTTTTTGCCTGTTATTTATCAGCCCCTGTCTTTAAACCGCTTATTGCTTCTCAGGGGGCCAGAGCATATCCCAGCATGCCCATGGCAGAGAGTACTAACCCAGTCTCGGCTCAGCCTGTGTATCCCTATAAGTCCACGGCTCATTTCCCGCTCAATACGGCGAAATGGTAGAGCTGGGAAATAGACATGACCAATAATAATCCAATATTTGTAAGCCTTGATAAAATAAAGAGATTTTTGTGAATAGAATATGTTAGGCCTGCCAGCTGCACTGCAATGTACTGGTATAAAGTTTGAGAGTTATTTTTCCAAAGGCTGGTGCAAAAGAAAGAAAAATCCATAGAACAGGAAATTCTGCAGCTTCATCTTCTCTCGGTTTATTTATTCATAACCGTCCTCAGACTCTCAAACACACAGCATATGCGACCTTTATTAACCCTGCCAAAGAGTTGACAGCGCATGGGACGTCTTTTTTAGTTGTCTAAAGTGACAGTTTGTCCACAACAAATACTGATTATCTTCCACAGAGGAGGTTCATTTCCCAGTTAATGCGTTTACAACATCTTCGTAACATTAGTACATCTTAATGGTTGCTATACAAAAGGCAGAATTATCGACCTACGGTGAGGAAAGCAATGAAATAATTATCCTACACCAAACTTCAAGTTTCAAATTATATTCTGTAATGAGTTGCTGCCATTGAGCATAAGGTTGAATTATCATCGACGTCTTGAAACCTGAACATCACATAACGGAGCTCAGAGTTTTTTTCATCAAAGTGGAGCTCAAGTTTCCCTTTGAAGACTTGATGAAAGTCATTTAATTATTTCGACTTCTACTTAAATTCCTCTATCTATACATTCAAAGTGGGTTATTGTCATTTCTGTGACAAATAGGTCGTTTATTTGTCAGATTAAGGAATTTATCGCCATCTGATTTGTCAATAGCTGGCGGCAGTGGCTCAGACTGTAGGGATTTGGCCTTGAGATCGAATGGTCACCGGTTCGAGTCCCGATCAGACCAAAAAAATACGGAGTGTGGACCGGTAATTGGAGAGGTGCCGTTCATCTTCTGAGCCCCGAACTGCTGCCGAAGTGTGTGTGTGTGTGTGTGTGTGTGTGTGTGTGTGTGTGTGTGTGTGTGTGTGTGTGTGTGTGTGTGTGTGTGTGTGTGTGTGTGTGTGTTACAAAGGGGGATAAATAAAGTTTAATCGCCTTCTTCAAAAATACTTTGCCTTTAAAATACAATGCACTGATAAATATCAAACCAGTTGTCCCTGAAAATGTTGTGTTGAGACCCCTTAAGATTTGTATTATTTGTTAGGAGTTCCCCCCCAAAAATGATTTAGATGGTTTAATATAATAATGTTTAAAGAAGTCAAACAGTTAATGTAAGTTAATTAACTTACAAAAAACCTCTTGATTTATCTTGTGGTCCTAGATAGGAGACAGACCTATACTGTAAATGCCCCATTGGAAACAGCTTTGCCCGACAACCAAATGCATCGATCATTTGGCGGTGATGAGGCTTAATGATCAGAATAACACTTGTAGCTTAATGTAGCTTGGGAACCTCCTGACTAAACTGTAAATTAAGTAGTTTAAACTAGCTCCACCTAGACGATATACAAGTAGTAGAACAACATTGTAACGACTTAATGCAGTATTACCAAGATAATTATACAATAATACTTATTTTTATAGTTTAATTACATTTTGATGATGATGTGTTTTTTCTTTTAGCAATGTAGGGTTGTTGCATCTTAACTTATAATGGATTACTTTTACATTGGTGTGCTGATACTTGAGCGAAAGGATTTGAATATTTTTGGTGTTGCATTAAATGGTTAGAAAATCCTATTTTGTACTTTATAATTGTAAATATATAGATAGCATAATTGTAAGTTTGTTCACTTTGTCAAACCACCATACAGCTGGTTTTGTAATACCTCACTTTAATAAAATAGTTAGATATGTAGTGGTATTAAGAAATGTGGAAAAAGGAAACAAGGCATCTTACAGCGTTATAAATGAGCAACATTTATTTCCACTTTTTGTACATTAAACGTGCATATCAATACAACTGAAATTGGTCATATAAATACCTTTACCATAATACTGTTACAATAAATACGGCTCTACTGATCCGAGAGTAAATAAAAACAAATTTCAATATCAACCGCTGTGCGAAAAACAAAAAACTGTACATGTGTTTGGGCACATTTTCATCTCAGAGGATTGTGCTAAGATTAGGGCTTAATAACTATTCCTATTCTCATCTGGAAAGTGACCCCTTTCGTGGCTGTGCTTCATTCTAAAAGTGATGTTAAAAAAAGTTCAAGAAAACAGGTGTCCTTCGCCTCTCTGTACGCAGACAGCACTTTGTCAATAAGGAAATTGTGCCATGCCTTCGCCAATTTGTGCTGGAAAGCAGAAGTGCACGCACACACACACAGCACACACACACACACAGCACACAATGCTCAAATAATGTATACTTCATAGTACAATTTAAAGCGGGCACTCTGCTCCAGGTCGATGTATGTTGTAACTAAAAAGAAGGCATTTTTACCCTGGCGAGCAGTGAAAAGGTTGTGACACAGCAGTGATTCACAGTAACACATCATCACATCATGTCAAAATATTACATACAGTACTTTAAATAAGATTACCAAGAAGCTCTTAATCTGATAACGTGCAAAATTAAACACACCTATCCATTCACAAAACTCCCACGCACAATGTTCATCTTTTTGATGATACACAATGAGTAATTAATGTATAGATTGAGTAATAAATATCAACACACAAATACCTCACTCCAGCCTCAGTAATATCTTTCCTTTCAAGCAAATGTCATTAAAATGTCATTCCATGCACTTTCCTTCAATTCACTTTACAACACCTTTCAAAATACTGCTTAAATCTTGTGCTTTCTCAACACTACAAACTAAAATAATTGTCCACACAGAGAGAGGACACGATGGCAGAAGTTTTAAGCGACAGAAGGTTGGATGCCGTTAATGCTGAAAGCAATGATTGGATCAATATCCAATGTATAGTGTTTTTAATTTCAGTGGCTAAATCTATACTTAACAGCATAGCAAAGTTCCAAAGTCCAAAGATTCAAAGTCAATCAAATAGCCTATTGCACGGTATCAATAATAACTAATGATACAAAGAGTTATAAACATCTGTGAAAATAGACAAAAACCGAGAGTAAACACGTTCAGTAGACTGTAGAAACAAGGAGAGGAGGCGCTCTGTGTTTCCCTCCACCTCAGAAGCCAGGCACATGGCAGTAAGCCTCCAGGGAGGACAACAGGATGTAGATGAACCAGAGGGAGAGGAAGAGGAAGAAGGTGAGGAGCTTGGGTGTCCGTGGGCCCCCGAGCTCTCCGCCCGCCACGCTGGGACGCCGGCGGTAGACCAGCACCACCACACACACCAGCGCCATGACGGTGAACACGGTGACGGAGAAGGCCAGCGAGCCCGGGTCCACCTTGAACACCTTGCCTTTGGACTTCCAGTAAACAGCGGCGATGGTCCACGCCACCCCGATACCCAGGAACACGTTGACGGCGTTGCTGCCCGTCACGTTGCCGATGGAGGCGTCAGCGTATTGGTCCTGGATGGCAGCCGTTTTACTCGCAAATGTATCTGTAACAGAAATGTAGGTATAGTTTAGGCATCAAAAGAAAAGGAAAAGGATTCATTCAAATGAGCTAGTAATAGAGATCAGTGTGAGCACTCTGACCAGGGACTTTAGAACCACAAATGACAGTTGGTCCTGTAAGGGTAGCAGGCAATTACATAGTAAACTTTATTATAAAAAACCTTTTAGATCATTTTTTATAGGTAGTAAAAAGAAATGTATTTTTGATTGGTCTCTTAACTCCTATCACTTCGCGGCCCCATGGCTTCTTTTTTATAAATAACTAATAATATATTAATGCTTTAAAGTTAGAGACCATGAATATGTTTTACGTTGCTAGGTTGTGGAAAATCTTTGCAGTGTTTCCCCTACCATTGTCTTGGAGGGGCGCTGCGCCCCACCAACGGAGCCCCGCGCCCCCCCTGCAATTCAAGGTGTTTAAAAAATAAGATAAAATAAATAATATATATATATTTTTTAATTATTTTTTTGTTTTTATTTGGAACCAAATTGCAACTAATCTACTGTCACTTTTCACATTGAACATGTGCTCTTTTATTAAATAAACTAAACGCTTTCATTTTAAGTTGTGAGTTTAGTGTTTTTGACCCTAAGAAACACTGATGTACTAAAAAAAAGTAATGATTGTTGTTAAGAAGGATTAAGATAGAGAATAAAATAAGATAATAAAAGACAGATCGTTGGATGTTGAAACTCCACCCAGTCTGCAGCAAGTTACAAATGTAAAAGTTCAACATATTGAGAAATGTGCTTTCTGGAGGGGAGTGAGATGAATATTGATTATAACTCTTGTATCTTGTCCAGCAGATGGTCGGCTTAGTTAAGCTGGGGATGTCATAGACAACTAACTTTAATTTTTTTGCTTGCTCCCGGGAGAAAGGTGAAGCAGCGTGCTGACAATGGAATGACACTCAGGTCACAGATTAAATGAGCGGGATGCAACAGGCCAAGTAGTGAGCTTTAAATGTGCTGCTATAGGTATATCCTTTTCCTTTCTACAGAACCAGGTGAGCTGTTTTCAGTCTTGCTGCTAAGCTATATTAACTGTCTCCTGGATGTAGCTTCATATTTATAGTTCAGACACGAGTGGTATGGATCTTCTCATTAAAGTCTTTGCCAGAGAGTTAACAAGCATATAATGTCAAACCATTCCTTTAAGTTGTTAATACATTTAGTTGCAGTCAAAAAGACAAAGACGATGTTACCCAGCTAAAAGTATTTTTTGACACATGGGTAAAACGTGTACATACAAATGGCTTCTGACTGATCTGTGGAGCATTAAATGTTTTGTTTACCACAAATTACTTAAACCCCCCCCTTGTACAACATTTATCAGTATTTTCTTCACATTAAACTGGAAAAACAATTCGTTTTTAAAGCCGGTCTCCTGCGTGCCTCTGTGTCAGTGTTTAAGACGTGGTGACATGGAAATGCAATTAGTCGGCACGGAGAGAACAAGGGAAACAGTCTTTTTCTTTGTTTACAGCTTGTTTCAGACAAGAGCTCAGGAGAGAATGATTCTGACAGCACATTGTGGCACAGGTTACACAAGTCTACAGCACGCACTAAACACAGAGGTAACCAAGGACAAGTCCCCTGTCAGAGTGGACAGACACCACAGACGCCCACCTGGTACAGAGGTGCCGAGGGCCACAAACACCACGGCGGTGACCGAGTCCTTGAGCCCGACGGTGCAGCCGAAGTGACAGGCCAGGTCTCCGGTCACAGCTGTCAGGACGCCGATGAGGGAAATGGACACAAAGAAACACGCCCAGCCATTCCAGTACTCAGTGGGGGGGACAAAAGCGAAGAGGACTTTCCAGAAAACTGTCAGGAAGTGCATAATGTAGTCAAAGCAGGACGGCAGGCGCTCCTCCCCGCTGTCTTCCTCGTCGTCGTTACCTGGCAGACACAGATAAGATGCATGAAGGCTTGCAAAATATTTACTCCCTGCGTTTGCATGCTGCTGTTGCGGTCTTCATCCCTCAGTATAGAAAACTGAATCAGACCAGAGAATATATTCTCTAATATCCTCAAAAGATAACAATCTTGTAACCAATTTAAGTCCTGATTATCACTATCCAATATGCATTCCTTTTCAGAGTTTTAACCCTTTAAATTCCTTTCCAATGAAAGAATATGTGTATTTTTTATGTTAGGATTTATGTTTTTTTACAGTCTCTGCAGTGTTTTTTGCAGAAATAGGAACATTGCAAGTATTTAAATGATGGGGTAAGTGTGCAAAAATGGCCAAATCTGAAGGAAAATTGAAAAAAATAATATATAAAGTAATTGTGGATGTTATGCTGTAATAACTGTCAGAACAAAATGTAATAACAAACAAGCCAAATGATAGAAAACCTTGAAATAGCAGTGACCTTAAATCTCATGTCGGAAATTGATATTAAATCATGATGGAGCAAATAGTTTCAGGTTTCATGATTTAGTTAAACTTAAAATACGTGTCTTACAGTCAAATCTAACCAAGACGATACCCAACCCCCCCCCCCCCCCCCCCTTCACATTCAAGCCATCCGACGATTGTGTGGGAGCTAACCTTTTCAACTCTCTGCATTAAATCTGTAAATATAGCCGCGACTCAGTTCTTGAGACATACGTATAGGCAGGCAGCATACTTTCTATTTATATATGCACTCAGCATGCAAATCTAAGTGAACCTGATATTAAAGAGCGTATTAACAGGAAGACACATCTCTGGTGTCATAGTCAGCTTTTAGCTCAAATGCTTTGTGCACTAGTGCACCACACCATACAGTACATCTGCATAATTCCTTCTGAGCCAATAGTTGTCCGGGCAGAGCTGGACAGATTCGTTTTTTATGGTGAGCCATTCGTAAAATCAGCACATCATGTATTTTGTATGAACCGTCTGGATTTAAAGGGTGCATCATAGGCATGGAAATAAAGCAGGCTTTTGTGTTGTAAGCTTTTTCATGTTAAACCAGGATTCTAAACTGAGCTAATGTCAAACTGTAGCATTATAGATTCAAACAAAGAAGTATCTAAAGCATAGAAAGAAACTGAAGTGAGGTCGGTGAGAAGCAGATCCTGCAGACTTCATCTTCCACAGGTGCTCACAGAGGCACAAACAGAGGAGACATCTCACCGCGCTGCGACTCACCTGCACTGACAGTGACAGCACTAACAAACTGCTCCCTCCAGCTGCTGCTCCCCACCACCAGAGCCAGGTTCGTCTTCTTTATCAGCTTGTCCACTGTGCTCTGCAGACGGCCACAAAGAAAGAAAGCAAAAGGACGTGATGCACAGTATCAATATAATCCTAACATTGCCTATGAGACTAGGGAGTCCAATGTGATGAATTAAGGTGCAAATAACCGTGTTACTGTTCCCTCTGTGGTGCACTGTGAGTCACTAAAACAGATGCAGGGAAGCCCACAATCCCTCAGCAAAAATGCACATTGCCAGCATAAAGCTGCTCTGCAGAATGTAAAGCCGTTAGTATCAGCGCACACAACTGGAGCTCTGAGAATAAATGCAGGATAATGTTCCAGCTTAAAGCGGCAAAACACCAATTCTACACATGCAGATTGTTTTAATTTTCAAAAATATGACAACAGAAAACCTTCGGAAATGTACCTGACAGAAGCGTGCAAGGCTACAATAATACAGAGGATGTCATAGTGATGTCATTAGGGTTATGTCAGTTCGAGTTTGGAGAGAAGGAGTTCGTGAAAGAAAGGCTGCAAAATGAAGGCGTGCAGTATGAAGGACGCTCTGTTGAAATTGCCTACTAACATACTATATATGCTATTCTTACTATGACTGAAACAATTTAATGCCTTTTGACTGCACAGTATTCGGTTTTTGTCTATCGAGAAATGACCAAATGAATACTAGATTGGCAAGTAATTCTGAGTATGTGACGTGAGATTATCTGAAATTCCAGCTGCCCTGGAAATGCATTTTGGCTTTTTAAACTGGCCAATGGTGGACTACGAGGCGGGTGGCTTTAATACTTAAAGGGGCCCTATTATGCACATGTTCAGGTTCATATTTGTATTTTGTGCCTTTACTGTGAAACGTTAACTTTAACCTCTTAAGTCCCACGGACCCGAGCTTGGGTCCGAAAATGCTATATATGTAGCAACAGTGCTATATCTGAAGTGTCATTCATGAAACTATTAATATTCCATACCCATCTGACCGGAGGAAACTTGGCTAACTGACGATACGAAAAAAAAAAATGTTTTTCGAAAAACAAGTCTCACAAGAAGCCTCTAAATGAGCCCATGGCAAAAACGGGCAATTGCTATTTCTGCTCATAACTCACAAAAACGATCATTTATAATTCATACTTTCTGCACAAACAACACTGAAAGCTGAGATTCCACAGATTCCATGGGTATACACCCCATCACTACAGGCACAACATTAATGTTCAAAAAGGTCTTTATTTTTCCTCATACTGCCTGTGTTGCAGCAGAAACCAGAGCCCGGTCTGCTCTGAATGGTTAGCTGGCTGGCTCTGGTGTGATTGGTCAGAAGAATTATAATCGAGGCTTTTCAGGCAGGGGGCGGGGGGGAAGTGTGTGGGAGAGAAACTCCTTCTGGAGGGGACTTTGGGATTTTAGCCTTTGCAGACCATTTACGTTCACAAAGACCTATGTAACAGACTACAGGAAAGGGATACCCCCAAGAGGCATACTAGGGCCACTTAAACATTGTTTAAAAAAAAAAGCAATACGGAAAAATATTTAACTGTTCGGAAGAGGAAATGTTGATTTAAATGTGCGATTAATTGTTTTCATTCAATGTTAGCTTGGACCTGTAACCATCATGTGATGCAGGGAAGATGTTTTCCTTTAGTTTCCTTCAGTGTGCCGGGAATGGAAAACGTAGTTGATGAATATACGTATTGGAGTATTTAGTACGTTAGTGTGAGATTTCGAACACAACCATGGACATTTAGCAGACATAAGCAAGTTGCGTTGTGGGAAATGTAGGATACATAGATTTTTTATATATCTCAGCCTCTGTTGCATCCATTTTTATTTAATGGTTCTCTTTACCCAGGCACGTACAACCCCACACTTTATGGCAGTCCATTTCAAAACCAATTTTGACCCCTTTAAATGCTGCATTACAGTTAAATTATACACTTTTCTCAACTTATTTGACTTTTCAAGTTGGATGAAATTATAAGTGACAGAATCTACTTGCAGACCCATTAGTTACATGCACATCACAAATAATTAAAAAAAGATTACATATGAATCCTTAAATGTCATATTCTAAATATTATGACATAATTGAGGTTGCTTCAAAAATAAAATCATTAATGTGTTATACCCCCAGCTCTAACAAAATCACACAAATGAGCAAAAACTGAATAAGGTCAGGATGGATTAAGCGCTCATGGTGATTAAAAGAGATTTCTTTAGATGTCATGTTTGTTAATGAGTTGGCACAGTGTCTGTAAAATAGTTAAAGGATTTAAAGGTTGTGACAGCTTCTTCTAATATAAAAAAACCCGGCTGTAATGGGTACTCAGTATACGGTAAATCATTTAAGAAGAAACTAAATATTGGCATTCATCAGCCTACAGCAGCTTGAGACAAGTACACAATCATTAATGTGATGGCTGAGGGCCACTCTGAAGCAAATAGCTGTTTATTTTGAGTTACCTTGAATTCATAGGACTCCTCAATCACCACCTCCAGCTTGGTGTGCTCGCCCAGGATGGGGCAGCCCATCTTTGACACGTCCTCCGGTCCCGCGCCTGTCTTGTTATCGTTGGTGTCTCCTGCGGCACAGTGTGAGAAAAGTGTGTCAACTATGAGTCGTTATTTCCCACACAGGGGATCTGCTACTTAATAAGACAACATATCTACTGATAAGGAAACCCATCTACAATGTGAACTGTTTGATAATGAAGTATAATTAACCATTTGCTTGTCTAATTGATTTCAGGTATAAAAAAGATTTTTTCGATATTGTCTATGTTGATTATTTCTAACAATGCTTTATTTGTAAGTATTGCATGACCTAAACAAGTTTAATTTACGTCATTGTGTTGACATGAGTTGGGTGGGTAGGGGGTAAGCTAATCATTAAAGGAGCACTGTTATCCTCTTTTTCAGATTCATTATTGTGTTTTCTGCCTCTACTGTGACATGTCTCCATGCTTTAATGTTCAAAAAGCTTCTTTTTTTTCTCATACGGCCTGTGCTGCAGCACCTCTTTTCACCCTCTGTCTGAAACCAGAGCCCAGTCTGCTCGGATTGGTTAGCTGGCTGGCTCTGCTGTGATTGGTAAATCGCTTAAAGATGTCCCGCCCCTTAGCCTATCACGTATTTTGCAATATTGTCAGATAATTCAACACATGAAAAAAATATTATTAGGTCGTACTTGTCCCTTTTAGCTCGAATCCTGATATCATTATTTTAAACGCTGAATAATTGTTCTGCTGCAAAAAGGGCTCTCAATAAAAGCAATAACACAATTGTGGTGTTGCCAACTAGAGTGGTGTCGTGGGATTTTGTGTTTACAGTAAGCTTCCCCCGGTTACTGTTATCTCATTGTTCATTGTAGTATTTGTTTTTTGGCATTTAAATGCAGAAATGTAATACCTTCTACCCAGGCTATTTAACAGTTCAACAATTTAAACACAAGTGCTCAATCATAAAACTAAGGGACAAAAGAGATCACACCTTAGACCTTAAGAGTTTCCCCAGAGTCATGAGGAATTTGTATTAATGCATGTCAACGGCTCCAGTAAGAGACTAAATAAAATATTAACGAGGGAGGATCCAAATTAAAATATATCTCGAGCCATAAAATAATAATGAAAATCTCTCTGCGGCTGCATGTGTCCTCAGCTCACCGTGTCTCTTTCCCACATCCAGCAGGATGGGCTCCTCCAACACAATAGTGAAAGTCTTGTTCTTCTCGTACTCCTCGTCATCGATGACCTTCACATTCAGCAGCTTCCTGTAAGCAGAGGGGTCAAGGAACAAGGAAAGAATGGAGCCAACAAGTGAATTGATTAGCATTATTTAGGAAATACACAACGCTGTCAACATACATTAACCTGCAATATATTTAATCAAAAATAGATCCCAGGCATCCAGTATTGCTACATGCTTTTGTACAAAAACAAAGAGTGTAGCCAAGAGGTAAACTGCCTACACAGTGAATCATGAAACAGAGATGTTAGATAAGAACACGGAAGCCTGAGATTTTTCCAACAAAAGTCCTGTAGTACGGAACACCATGTACAACACAAAATCATCTTTTATTGTTCCCCTAGCACCCCACAAGAGGGCGGACGCCTTCTACACCATTAATCCCATTAGAGCACTAGAGGAATAAAGTGAGATAGCCCACACCTCTCCCACACACATCCAGTTATTATAAGTCATTGGAAATTGAATTATTATCTTGTTCTCTATGGAAATCAAGCTCGTCCTATCTGGGAATCCATGCAGGATCACACAAGCTCTTAAGACGTGTTTACAAAATACAGCTTTTGCCTTTAAATGCGAGTGCTACCAAAAACATGTGAGTGAGGGTGTCAAACTGTGACCGACATATTCAGCCGCAGCCCCACTTCATTCTCCCACTCTGTCACAGCGAGTCTTTCTCTCCCTCTCCCTCCATCTCCCTAATGATATGTGGGTGGCGGTCTATTTCTGTCTACTCATGTGCACTCAGGATTCGACAGCACGGTAGAAAGAAGAGCTGTTTGCTTGCAATAGAGAATAAGTTTCTTTTAAACACGAACGATACGTCATCAGCTGTCTAATGTCAAGGGTAGTCATACCAGTGGGAGCAAAGGGAATCGCAGTATCGCCTGCAGTCCTTACCAAGGAAATGAAAGAGTTTCTTTTACACAATATGTTATTTTTAAAAGCAATATGTACAGGGACACAGTAAGTTTAAAGGTCATCAACTAAAATGTAGTGTTTCACCTGCCAGGGACTGTATTCATCCTTTTGTATCTTACATCACACTTTGGGCAGATACCGTGTATCCCGCTTTAGTTTATGAAGCTGCGCAGGACATATAACTGGCAGGGAAAATAACACATTTACATTTTGCACACCTCTCACTCAAATACAATCTAGATATGAAGGATGGGATCAGGAACAATTTAAATCGTAACCTGTGCCTGAGTTTTTGCTCTAACTTCAGAAAACAAATGTGGGTAATGATACCAAAACCAAATGTTATCCAATCAAAAGTAACTACAGATTCCAAAAAAGTAAAAGGAGATTAAGGTATGATTAGTTTGATGAATAAGTCTCACAGTTTCTTTTATTTGTTTAAATAGTTTAATATAATTGTGTAGCACTGTTGTTGGAGCCTGGGACCTAAGGTTTTCATCGTCATAACTACACTGTATGTACGTATGACTAATACAAGCCTTGAACCTTGAAATAAAGCCAATTAAAACATTCTGGTTTAATGAAACAACCCCAAAAGAAAACATACACATAGTATTATGTTCATGTGTACTGCCAATACATGTACAAAGTGAACACTGTACAGTAAACTGAATAATCAAGAATACATTATAAATATGCCAGCGCTCAATGAGACTCATTGGAATTGGACAATCAAGATACTGAACTATTTAACAAAAGTTCTACTACCCATTAGAGCTCTAAATGTAATGGGATATACACAACATATTTCTAAAGTAAATTAAAGGAAGTCCATGTGGCATCCTTTGTAACTCTCTTGAGAACTGGCCTTGCAAGACTACCAACGAACCAATTATCTAGCTAATAGCTGATCGGCTAGTAAGCTAGTTGAAAGAATTGTTCAACATTTGGGAAATATGGATTTCTTGCTGAGAGATAAGAAGGGCGGTTCATGCCATCCTGCTGTCTGTAGTCTAAACATTAAGCCAGAGCTGCTCTTGTTAGCTTAGCATATCATCAAGGCTGCTAACGGTGAACATAAATGGTTCCAGCATGTAACTCACTGTAAAGCCACACCTTGCCATCTCAGCAAGTTAGAATCATTCCAAAAATATCTTTCTGTCCATTGACATTTGGTGAGGAATTAATGAGGTTCCTGTAACTACTGTAACTGTAACTCTTTCAGTTTCTGAATGGTGTGGGAATCAGGTTAACAGTGAAAATAGCACCATGAATTGTCCTGAGCTGCATATCTCTGCAGGTCTTACCTCTCATTACAACAGTCACAGTAGGATTGTATCCAGACAGTAAATCCCTCACTTTCTGCATGATATCACATTTTACAGTTTATCATCTCTACCCACCGGCTCTATTCCTGGGAAAGTTTCTGAGAATCCAAAATCAATAACATTCCTTGCTATCGAGTCTGTCAAACACATATGTGAAGGACGCCACGACTGCATTCTCTGATCGATCTCTGATTCCCTGAAACACCCATAATCTCTTCTGAGAGGGGAACATCTGCTCTTTTTATAAGTTCCATCAACTTTTGACTTTGAATTTCCTTTCTCACATTTCTTAACAGCCTATTGTCTGTCAAAATGGTATCTGTATATTAATTTGCTGGATTATCCTGGTAAATGAAGGTTAACTATAGAGGAATACAGTGCATTGATTTGTGATTGAGACTGCAGCAGCTGTTAGTCTTTTTTTGGGAGTTTCCCTCTCCCTCACATTGCGTTGGTTGGATAAGGGTGCTCCAGTTTCCTCCCACAACCAAAGACATATACACACATGTAAGTTATGAGGACTGGAGACTCTGAATTGCCTGTAGGTATGGGAGTAACAGATTCTACGCTTCTATGTTCACCCTATAGTATCTCTGCCTTCTGCAGTCTCCACGCTGGGATGGGCTCCAGCCCTCCTGAGAGCCTGACAAAAACTAAGCCTGTAGGGAGAATGAGTGAATGCATAAATGCATGACAGTATGTCGAATACCCCTGACTGAACGGGGCACTGCCATTCAGTTGGAGAATCATGGATCAAACCAATGTGTCACTGTATCAGCATGTGTCTATCTTGCTGATGTGTCCTTGAGCAAAAAACTGGTGCTCGATCAGCTCCAGAAACACTGCATAGTACGGTAGATATGAACATAAGGCTGCAGCACGATGATGAAATGTGTTTTTCTCATATCCACAGCAGATACAGTACAAGAGATTGTTTCGCATGCACTGTTATAACCTAATGAGTGTGATTTATGTGTTTTTTGTATTTGTTGCTAGTGACATGCAAGCTCAGCATGCAAATTGGAGCACTATAAACTCCCTCTGGAGGGACATTTGGGATTGTAGCCTTTGCAGACCATCTACATGCACACAAACACTACAGGAAAGGGACAACCCCAAAAAGCTCAAAAGGGCCCCTTTAAACTAAAACCAACATTTTACGTTTGCTTAGATTTAATGTTTGACTTTTTAAACTTTACTTTTACCGTCTGAATATGATTGTTAAAAAGCAGGTTTTTCAACAAAAAACACATTTTTAAAGATAATATGTTCTTTTTCAATTTTTGTTCTGATGTCCCATAATGTAAGTATTGAGGCATGTCTTTGTTTGCATTGCATTGATATTGAGGGAATCCAAAAGTAATGTAAAGTAATCAGGTTTCTGTTAAGCCCCAAGGTCCCCGCCGGCGGGTACTTTTTTTTTTTTTCACGACACTGTGTCTCAGGGGATCTTAATATTTAAGAACCTATTAATGTGTTATACCAGATTAACGGGAATAATCTCAGCTAACTGACGATACAAACCATTTTTACCAAAACAAAACATAAGTCTCATAAGAAGCATCTAAATGACCCCTGAGCGAAAAATGCTAACGCACTTTGGCACAGAACTCAAGATAAAAGTACCCTTATTACTTATCGTAGCTGCACATACAAGATATCCGATTAAAGCTGAGGTTCCACAGATTATTTAGGTATATATATCATCACTGAGTGATCCGAACTCTTGACAGGGGAAGCAAACACAGACATCACAACACGTACCTTTATGTAGCTTTTAAGGGAGATCGTCTCACCGTAGCTGTCAATCTGATCAAAAGACTTGTTCAATGGCATTAAAATGAGAAAAAACGCGGCTGAATCGGTTGATCCATAGGTTGATAATGTTTCTGGGTAAACATTTTTTAAATTTATAATCCATAATTCCATTTTTATGTAAAAATCGGAGAGTAAAAGTTAGCTGCTAATGGTAGCCACCAGAGTGGCTGCAGCTTCCGGTCTTGGCTATGCGGCAGTCTCACACACACACATTACCAAATAAGGAGTATGTGGGAGTTCCCCTCGATTCCATTGGCTCTGACGGTTAGAAAAAGATGTCAATCAGCAAAATCGACCAAGGGGGGCCAGAGATATGGAAAATCCACCCAAATGACCCCAGAAGTGTTTTTTTTGTGCTAAATCTCTCTAAAAAGGTCAACTTTCACTTGTTTTGCATCAATCTTGATACAGGGTACTTATTATATGTTGTACTTTGGATTCCTAAAGCTTTTAGTCTACCATCCCATCATTCAAGGGTGGTTTTCACTATAAGTAATTTTTTTTTTTTTGGACGGACACAATAATTTAATTTGTTTTACTGTGTTCAATCTGAATTTACTTTAAAATAAAAACATCTTTATTGATTCTGACACTTCTACATCCAACTCACAGGTGTAACCTTGCTTTGAGAAAAAAGATTATTAATTTAACCCATTTAGAAGGGAAGATATGGTCATTTGTTCTGGGAATGTCATTTTCGAGCCTGAGACCTGAAAAACAGGCTCGGGGCTTAACAAGTTTTAATGGGGCGGAGCCTGTGAGCTAGTTCAGGCAGTCAACTCCAGCACCAATGATACATTAACACGTGACGCTCCTCGTCCCTCTTACAACCAACCAAACACATTGCTGTTACTGCTGCTCGCCGGCCCCCCCACTACCCAGCTTCCACCTGTAGGCTCGGGGGGATAGTTATCTAATCATCACTCTATGTTCTCTGTAAATCTGTGGAGGCCCGAGCCTAGACACCAAACTCAAACTATGCTGCTTCTAATAAACATATTAAAGAAACAGGTGAGTTGTCTGACAGAACTTTTATAATGTGATACTACAGTAAGATTAGATTAAATGTTTCCACAGGTAACTAGTAATTGTAAAGGAATACATTTTATTAAAAGTAACTCTAATGATATTTGGAAAATGGCAGCCGAACGAGAAAATGTTGCAATGTAATTTTTTTCCAACATGTGAGCATTCAATATGAGAGTGAATGTTTAACAAAAGGAAGCCTATCAGTGCTGCTTAAATGGAGCAATGCTTTTCTTCTTCCTTGATGATTCCCCAGAGAAAGCACTTTTCCAAATGCGTAAACATTAGCCAACCCTGACTCTGCGGCGTCTGCTTTTATCCATTTGTGTCATGAAGTTCCTCATATCATTGATCCTGACTGCATTAGGCGTGAGAAAGAAAGAACATCACGCTATTGATTCTCCTTTTGAGAAAGTGATCTCCTTGCATCTCTTTCATTTTTGCTTATGTAACTGCCCCCGTTATCCACCTCAGCCTCAACTAGTGTGTAGAGCCTCACATTTTGAGGCGCTAACGAAAAAACAGATACAAGAGGAAACTACACACAGCCATCAAAGGGTCTGCGCAGATCTTCCTCTAATCCATAAACAGGGAATGTAAAACAGTACTCTATGTCAGCCTGTTTACCTTGGCTCAGATGCTTGTGTTCGTACATCATAATCTATTTACTGCAGTGCAGAATTTAGATGTTAAATTGTTATTTATCTGCACAGTTGGATTTAAAACCGTTCCTCCTGGCTCTGAGTCAAAAGCTTAAAACCTGCCTCTTCTGCTCCTTCTGCGCGCTCAAACATCGACCGGGATAGCAGATGTACACAAAGACACACATAGCTGTAACACACACACACACACACACACACACACACACACACACACACACACACACACACACACACACACACACACACACACACACACACACACACACACACACTAGCTGCCTTGAGGCCCGCTGCCGAGTGTGAGCTCTTTGCCCCGAGTGCTCCAGGGAAACATTTGTGTAAGCTTTGTTTGAAGGATGAACTTTGTCAGACGGCTGAGCGGTAAGCACATTATGCATAGAGCATGTGCACAAGGTCACGCGCATAGATACGTAGAAGAACTACCTCGAAATGACGTTGACTATTTTCCGCTGCATCTTTTAACAGGACTGACAGAACGTTTCAAATTAAACAACCTCATAAAAAATTCAGTGTGACTGGAGCATCCGAGGAGCATAAAGCAGGCACAACATGCATTACTGTCCATAGACTTAAAATCTGTTCAACAGGGTGAATTGCCTCCAGTACCTTCTACACCAGCTTTGATACCTTCATGTGGAAAATATAGCTTTCCTCTCTCTTACCGTCTGACAACAGGTGTCTTGGATTAAAACTACACCATGGCTTAACAGATAAGCTGCTGTGATTTGACCCATCTGGACCGGCAAGTGTGACTCAAGATCTTAGTCGAACCTTATTAACGTTGACCACAGAACCCCTGAATTCCCCCTTAAGTCCTTGTTTGCTATTCAAAGGAGCACAGGAGTAGCTCAGCACAGCTTTGGCGTTTCCTGTTGCTGTTGTGTTCTCTTTTCATCGGCTTTCTCGTATAAGTGATCCAGCTCTCCACGGTCCTTCCTCTCCTGCTACACAGTGACTGCTGAGAGAGGCATGACTCCAGATACATATGAAGTGCGTAGATGCTTGTGTCACTGTCGGCTCGCTACAGACAGATGAACAGAGTCTTGGCTCAGTAGGTGAGGATTTCAGCTAATGCTCCGTTTGAATGCAGCCTCTCATTTCACGACGGTATACTCAACTGTCTCATTAACTGCAGCTTCTGTAGCCGCCCGCGCTCTGTTGAGAACTTTGTGGACTCCTTGAACCCCTCTTCACACGCTTTAATTGCTCCGGATGCTCAAGAAGCTCTTTTGAGTTCCCCTCTGGAGCGACATTCTGTTTGATGTGGGTTTAAAGTGGATGCGGCGCGCAGACATGCACTCTTAAAAATGCACACAGACAAGCGCACTTCAAGCAAGCAAACATGCAGAATAATGTGCAAACAGAGGAATATATTAAAATCACACCTGCACTGCGAGGCAAAAAAGACAAATAGGGAGATCTGCAGTCTCTTTGACACGCTGTGTTCACCTGCCTCTCCTCCCACTCAGCCGACCTACACAATACGCCTACACACGGGCCCTGAAATCCTCCTCACACAAACGGATTCATCTGACACATTTTCATTCCTTTGTTTAGTGCTCTGTGTTCTGAATCATGTCGACGTGATGAGCTTTAAGAGCGCTTTCTTTTTTGGGGATCAAATCAAAAATAACTGCCGTGGATAATTGCAAGGCTATGCACATCGCGTCGTAAAACAAACACCACAAGTGCTCTCGTCATTCAACCAAACCTTCCGTGCAATGTTCGAGGGAAAGCTGGAAAAACATCGGACTTTCACCCCTCTTTCTGCAGCCTTTCTTATCTGCCTCTCTGCTGCGGCATCCATGAAACTATCTCACAGGTTTCACTGAATGCACCTGTTTCCGTATCTGCTCAACCCTTCATCCCCTCCCCGCTGCTGTTCAGTCAACTGCCTGATTTTCTTTCCCCCTTCTCTGTCGCTGCCATACACTTCCTTTTGTTTTCTGAGTGTGTAACATCTAGCCAAATCCCACAGGGCTGCGTGTCAACTCATTCATAGAAAGCTGTTCCCTCACTCCTTCCTTTACGTCAGCCACATTGTTCCGTTATCTGCCGCACAATTATATCCTCCCACATCATCCCTCTGGAAGATCTAAAGTTCTCAGAGCCAACGTATCAATGACGCATATGAATAGCCACTTTAATGCTTCACCAGAATAGATCATTTACAGTAATCCAGCAGAACTCTTTAAACCGCCAACGTGTGGGCTGTGATGTTTGATCAAGTGATTAGAAGCAAAAACTAGACATCACATAAAAGAAGGAAAAACTCACATGGTCTCATCGTTCTGAAACTCCAGCTTGCCGGACACGTCCTCGTAGTCTTCGCCGGCCTTGGCGGTGCCCTCGACGGTGCGGTAGGGCACCGCCACCTTCCCCCTGGCCCCGGACGTCCGGTGGACCTTCACCTGCATGTTACCCACGCTCTCGCTGATCCTCATGGACATATTCTCGAAGGTGAAGATGCCGGCGTGGTCGTCATCGTAAATGGTGACCGTGGCGGTGCTGGCGGTGCCCAGGGCGGCCTTGGGGGGGGCGTTGGAGATCCCTCCTGTGCTGTTGCTGGAGGTGATGGAGTTTGGCTCCAGGACAGAGACCTCAGCCCGGTGCACGATACGTGGATTACTCAGGCGCACATAGAAATGCTCATCTTCTTCAAAAATATCATCATCAATGACACCGACGGTGAACTCTTTGGTGGTCTCGCCAGGCTTGAAGACCAGAGTGCCCTCGGCAAACTCGTAGTCTGAGCCGGCGTTGGCGGTCGCATCCTCCGTACGGTAGTCCACCTGAGCAAAGGAAGAAGCTTCATTAAATATGAATTATTAATCTATGTTATCCCTCAAGCAATCCATTACATTTGAAGTCCTCCACATACAGTTTTTCATGCACTGGTCAGTTTTGAGATTTGGGGCTTTTTTTGGCTTCCATGACATGTTGCTTTCAGACTTCCAAAACATCCAAACTAAGTTAGGTGCTTATTTCCCTTTGTCTATGTGTCTGTAGATGTAATCCTAAATGTACCTAATGTTACTTCACGCACATTTTTTTAAACCCTTTAATTAATCATGAAAAAGATTGCTTTAAAGGTTCTTGCAAAATGGAGTGTATTCATGGATTTTTACAAAACATTTATCAAAATCATTTATTTGTGAGTCAGAAATCTCCACTTCAGTAACACTTACGTACCAAACTATCCACTCTCACTCCTATTTTTAGTCCTAAGGTTTTAAAACATTGGTTAAAAACACAAAATGTTTATTTATTTAGTGATAAAAGGAGATCCAAAATTATTTTCTAAATACTGCCTAATTTGCATATTTAAACCTGTTATTTAAACTTTAAACTTTGCGAGTTCATTATTTCCATTAAAACAATTCTTTTAATTGTTTTAATGCAAATAATGAACTCGCAAAGTTTAAAGTATTTTTCTTTACCTGATTCACATGAAGTATTTCCCTCAAATTGACCATTTGCTATATTTGTCATAATGTCTTCTTACCTTCACAGTGCAGCCACTCTCTCCTCCGTGCCGAGTGACTGACAGCTTCAGAGAGCCGCAGTTCTCGAAGCACTGGTAGTGATCGGAGTCAAACTGCAGGTAGATGGTGTTGGGGTCTTCCTCCTGCCCACTGGCCTCATGACAGCTCACCACCTTCCTGGCCTGGTCGGCGGCGTGCTTCTTCAAGATGTTCCCCGCTCCAATCATCATGCGCGTGGCTTGGATGCGATAGAAGGCCCGGCTCTTATGTTGTTGCACCAGCACTTGGTAGTTGGCCATCTCGATCAGCTGCTCCATGTCTTTCTCCGGGTGCCTTTGTTTTAAATCTTTCAGATTGCGAGCCATGTCCCGTCGGGCCTCTTCTTCCTGATCCTGCTCCGCGCTCCCTCCACCTTCCTCCACGCCCTCCAGCATCCCATCCAGCGCCTCTTTGGGGTGAGTGTGGGAGTTCCCACCCGGGCCGTCCATCTCCAAGTCCATTTTAGTAAACATGGCGTCTCCTTCCGACTCGATGATAATGCCTCGGGTCTTATCAGCACGATAACGCTTATGGACGTACTTGTAGAAGAGAAGGCGGCGGTCTGCGATCCAGGCTTGGAGCACACAGATGGGGAAGAAGAGGAAGGTAAGGACAGCCTCCCACACCTCCACCTCTCCCGGGGAGACCACAGACAGGATGATATACAGCCAGATGTAGGCGAACACGCTCCAGGAAGCAGTGACGAAAAACACCCGCAGGTGCTTTACCTTCCGGACTTCATTTTCGGGCACCACGTGCACACAGATGGCGATGATAATGAACATGTTGAACGCAGCGCTGCCCACAATGGTGCTGGGCCCCAGAGATCCAGCCTCGAAGTTATGGCCGACCACTTCAATGAGGGACAGAAGGATCTCTGGTGCAGATGAGCCCAGCGCCATCAGAGTCAGGTTGGATACCGTCTCGTTCCAGATGCGTACAGTGGTCGTGGTCGTCTCACCGTTGGGCTTCTTGATGGTGATCTCCTTCTCTTGGGAGGTTATGACCTCGATGGAAGACATGAAGCGGTCTGCGATGATGGACATGCCCAGGAACATGTATATGAGGGCTGCAAAGTAAACTATGGCGCGTGCCACCTTGTCCCCCACCGCGGGGTTTGTGGGGTTCCACATGGGCAGCACAACGCCATCTGTGCAGTTTTCAGTGCTGGAGCAGTTGCCTGCTGCGACGTCAGTATCTTCAAGGCTGGCACTGCCCTGGGAGACACGAGTGACTCCTGGGAGCAGAACCAGCAGCAAGGACATGAACATGCATGGAGTGAGGATACGCTTGTTCAGAAACATGGCCGCGTGATGATGCTTGGAGTCCCTGAAAGATAGAAGAACAAGAATGTTGCGTTGAGGTAATCACATTCATTGGGTCGCTCATCATCAGGGTTCAGAAATACCATCACAGAAGTGCTCACAGTCATACTTGTTTGTGTGCAAACGTGGGATCCAGCATTTCCGTTGGTCCGAGTTTGGAAAGCCAGAAATATTGGCAACTACAAATCATTGAGTCATTGGTATTGAACTACCCAGTCCAATTTCCACACATATAATGGTCATTCTGCGCTAAGCAGCATTAGAAATATGCCCCTCTGCATCTGGAGTACTGAGAGATAAAGTGACTCAGTCCACTTTGTATTGTCGAGGTAGAGGGGAGTCCAAAAATAACCCTCGCTGAAAGTAAAAAAAGAAAAGCGATGTTGTTTTGAGGCAGCCGAGATAAAGATATCAAATGATTTAAAGGAGGTGAAGCATGCCCCTCAACTCTGGCGTGTTATACTGTCTAATGCTAAAGCTACCTAACACCCTTTTTTGCATTTTACTTAAGCGATTTACACTGTCAGGGGACAATTTAAGATCAGTTCAGAGTGGCTTTCTTGGCAGCAGTGTGGCAATCACTAGCAGATCAATACCGTCCAGAGGATTAGCATCTGCATCAATGTGAACAGAGAGAAAAAAACAGCTAAAGAATGTAATCTAATGCTTCCTAATTAAAATGTCAAGACCACCTCCATCTCAAAAATAGGTTGCCAACCCAGTAGAAGAGGTTTGACAATGCTTCATGTACGCCACCTGCTCTCATTGATATGCAGCTGAGAAAAGCTGCAATCTCCACTCTGACCTGCATAACAGGGGTGCACGTTTTCCATCAAGGATACATTTCAGGGTGAAGCCACGCAGCACAGATGTAGACAACGAGTTGTCAATTTTGTTGTCACCTTGTTAATAAACGACAAACATATTGTGTTTGTGCAGCAACAGCTTTGTGCAACACATGTCTGCTGTTGAAACGGAGTGAGACGTCAGCAGGATCAGCACCATGGACAGCAAAACACATCGGCACAGGCAACATGTGACCCTCGGCCCCGATGATACATCCTTATTCAACAAAAATCAATAAATAAATGAGACGAAGAGTACACAGAGATATCATTGATTCCTTCCTATCATTTAATATAATCCTGCATTCGTCTGGCAGACAACCTTGCACAAATTTTGAGTGGGTGACGTTTCTATGGTAAAAGCAAGCTCTCCAACTGGTGGGAAGGAAGGAATAACATTTTTTGTATCCACAGTACTATAGAGACAAATGTGTCTACATTTTGAATGTGGTCTAGTGGTGCCATACACAGGTCAGTGACATATATTCCTCTATGAATCACCAGGTGCCAACCAGCTAACAATGTAAAGACATGTAGAGATACTCTGTCCCTGAAGAATGCAGGATGTATGCATCATCGCCACCAAGCTGGATGGCTTTCACCTTACTAACCCCTTTTGGACTTCAATTCTCTGCATCGCTGATATTAAACAACATTTTCCTTTATAACAACATCAGTTGAACAGTTATACCACTGACACACCCAGCAAGATGTCACTTTTCCAATTCATTAAGTGACTCCTTCAACCTTTAATAATAAAAAAAATCCCCCAAATGTATAAATAAAAGTGCCTCCATTTAAATGGAGTCCTCAAACGTGTTCCTGTTTGGTGAGAAGAGGTCTCAGGTTAGCAAGTAAACACTTGTTCTTAATGAGTTACACTTTGATGCTGCCACTCGTTTTGTGAGACTTTTTTCCCCTCTTCAAATGGTGGCAGTTTCAATTTGTAATGAGACTCCTCATAAATGTCATTGCTTTTGTCTTGGGAATGAAAAGTCATAAACACAAACAAGCAGAAGGAAAATAAAGAGTAAACAATGCGTGAACAGAAAAATCAAACTGTTAGCAGACAATATGAGACCTGGTGTTGAACACACACCGTATCTAAACTAAAAAAGACATACGCCATGTATAGGTGTTTGCATGCTATGAGCTTTAGGGCCCAGCATAAAAGAGAAAAAGACAAGGTGCTCATGCAGGAGTATACTTTAGGTTAAAATGGGTCCTATTTTTTATATTGCAAGAAATGTAATTACTCACCGAGGTGCAGTTTTCTGTGAGTCAGCTCAGAGTGGAAGTTATGGCCTCAGGAAAGGAACTTATCTTTCATATCGCTCTGTGGGAAGACAGGTTATCTGTAATGAACACATTGTGCAGAGAGTTTCATAATCACCATGAAAACTATAGCCGGAGAGGATTCCACGTTAGAGAGTTTTAAGAAAACGAGAAGAGATGACAGAGTAGATTCAGCAACTGCAGCAGAAATACAAAAAAAGACATCACTGTTGCAAAAATCTTAAATTGCACATGGGTTCTAAAACAACTATATTATTGGAGATTACAGAAAATAATTCCGTCAGTTCGCTGTGGACAATGGACAAATAGACTGGTCCATTTGGTGCGCACAGCAATCACATGGATACTCACAGAAAGCCCCGAATTTCAGCTGGACCCTGGTCTCCGCGAGGCTGCTCTGCACCAGCTCAAGAGAAGAAGACACCCAGTGTGCCATCCACGCAGCAGGCTGGTGTAATGGTGTTGGCTTGTTGCGCTGGTGTCTTGGAAATGACGCGTGTATCTTTCCACGGTGCTTCTTCGCTATTTATTTCCCTGACAGCCTACCTCAGCAAACTTAACACTGTTGGATTAGTTATTCAATTCCCCTCGCTTCAACGCGGCGACACCGTCCACAAAGCTAAGTCATTCTTTCAGAAAACACAATGCGTTCTCAGCTTTTTCCTCTCCAGGCTACGTGCGAATGTTGATGCGTAAAATAATAAATGAAATGACAGTCTGTCTTGATCCGTCCCGCTTCTTCTATCAGTCAGAAATTCTTCTAAACTATCAATTTGTTTAAAAAAGGCTTTTAAGGTGTGTTTTTTCTCCGTAAAATAAACTGAGTGGAAAAATTCCCTTGCTTTTCTGTCTGAGCGTGAGTGTAGGCGTGAATGAATGGTGACGGATTGAGAGGACGCAAAACCACACAAACGGATCAGGACAAGATGGATATCAAGCAGAAGGATGGTGGCAGAGAGGAGAGGAGTGTGGTGTTATGCAGATGGAAGTATTGTCTTACTCTTACGGAGGGCAGCATTGGCACAAGAAACGATGAGCAAGAAAGCAAAGCTGTAACACTGCAGAAACAGGGGAGGAGACGTTCAGGAACAGCGCTACACGCACGGCTGGTCCTCCTGACTGCGCATCAGGAGTCCAGGACAAATGGCAATTTCACTCCTAAATGCTCATTGCCGTTATCAGACAGCCATCATCACAGATAGATCTGCTGAGGGTCTTAGTCTGATAGTCCTGTTCAATGCTCAGTACATCCCAGATGTTGCTGCTGTCTGCTATGGGTTTCTGTCTGGATGTTAATACACAAACACGTAGTGGGCAATTAAACTATTCACTTATTATTGTGTCCTTAACCCTGAAATCATGATGCAATCTTACTCTATAAGTTAGGGTAAGGAAAAAACAAACCAAACTTGAGTTGGAAGAAAAAAGTGAGAGAGATTAAAGAGGCTAAAAGTCGATAGTGAGACAAGCCACACTGATCTTTACCAGTAATGGGGTTAACTAAGGTTTGAAGTTTGCCTATGAGTTGCTATAGAAAAAGCCGCAATTGTATACATAAAGGTCACTGTACTGGTCATATTGTGACTACTTGTGACTACTACTGAAATCCTCCTCTTGCTGCCTTGATATTATTCCAACAGGATTTTTCAAAGATGTTTTGCCTTGCATGGCCTCAGATCTACTTCATATAGTAAACAAATCTCTTCACTCAGGTATTTTTCCACAGGCCCTGAAAACTGCAGTCATTAAACCGCTCTTAAAAAAGAATAATCTAGATGCTTCAGTAATGAACAATTACAGGCCCATATCAAACCTGCCATTTCTAGGTAAAATCATTGAAAAAGTTGATTTTCAACAGTTGAGTAATTTCTCGCATTTAAATAACTGTTTTGATGTGTTCCAGTCAGGCTTTCGTCCAAACCACAGCACTGAGACTGCTCTTGTAAAGGTCTTTAATGACATCCACTTAAACACAGACAGTGGCAGAACTTCAGTGTTAGTATTTTTAGATCTCAGTGCTGCGTTTGACACTGTTGACCAAAGCATATTACTAGACCGACTGGAAAACTGGGTGGGACTTTCGGAAACAGTTCTGAATTGGTTTGAATCCTACTTAAAGGACAGAAACAACTTTGTTTCTATAGGTAAATACACATCTGAGTTGACAAATATGACATGTGGGGTTCCTCAAGGCTCCATCTTGGGGCCTCTTCTCTTTAACATCTACATGCTACCACTGGCTCAGATAATGAAGAACAACAAAATAAGTTACCATAGCTATGCAGATGACACACAAATTTACGTAACAATTTCACCAGGAGACTATGCTCCAATTCAAACACTGAGTAAGTGCATTGAACAAATCAATGACTGGATGTGTCAGAACTTTCTCCAATTAAACAAAGATAAAACTGAGGTAATGGTTTTTGGAGCCAAGGCAGAACGTATAAAAGTTAGCACTGAGCTTCAGTGTGCAATGTTCAAAACAACAGATAAAGCCAGAAATCTAGGTGTAGTCATGGACTCTGACCTGAGTTTCAACAGTCACATTAAAACTGTTACTAAATCAGCCTACTATCACCTAAAGAACATATCTAGGATTAAAAGACTAATGTCACAGCAGGATTTGGAAAAACTTGTCCATGCTTTTATCTTCAGTAGACTCGACTACTGCAATGGTGTCTTCAGAGGTCTCACTAAAAAATCTATTAGAAAGCTGCAGCTGATCCAGAACGCCGCTGCTCGAGTCCTCACTAACACTAAGAAAGTGGATCACATCACTCCAGTTCTGAAGTCTTTACATTGGCTTCCTGTGTGTCAAAGAATAGATTTCAAAATACTGCTGCTGGTTTATAAAGCACTGAATGGTTTAGGCCCAAAATACATTTCTGACCTCCTGCTAAATTATGAACCATCCAGATCTCTCAGGTCTTCAGGGACTGGTCAGCTTTCTGTCCCCAGAGTCAGAACTAAACATGGTAAAGCAGCGTTCAGTTATTATGCTCCAAATATCTGGAACAAACTCCCAGAAACCTGCAAGGTCCGCTGCAACTCTGACTACTTTTAAATCCACGGCTGAAGACTTTTCTTTTTGTCGCTGCTTTTAATTGAACTATTCATATCTTAGACTGCACTGTAACTTGATCATGTAACTTTTTCTTTTAATGTTTAATTGACAGCACTGTAACTTTTATCCATGTATTTTTTCTTTTAATGTTTTATTTATTATCTTTTCTTTTAAGATGACTGATTTTAATTGCCATTTTTCTTAATCTCTTTCATTTTTTGTAAAGCACTTTGAATTGCCTTGTGTTGAAAAGTGCTATATAAATAAACTTGCCTTGCTTGCCTTGCCTTGCCTTGCATTGCCTTGCCTTTCCTTGCCTTGCCTTGCCTTGCTTGCCTTGCCTTGCCTTGCCTTGCCTTCCTTGCCTTGCCATTGCCTTGCCTTGCTTGCCTTGCCTTGCCTTGCCTTGCCTTGCCTTGCCTTGCCTTGCCTTGCCTTGCTGCCTTGCCTTGCCTTGCCTTGCCTGCCTTGCCTTGCCTTGCCTTGCCTTGCCTTGCCTTGCCTTGCCTTGCCTTGCCTTGCCTTGCCTTCCTTGCCTTGCCTTGCCTTGCCTTGCCTTGCCTTGCCTTGCCTTGCCTTACTTCTCAGAGTGAAGCCTTTAAAAAAAGTTATTACAAGGGTTTAGTTGTAATACTTGATTCTGATTGGTCAATCTGACATTTCGGTGATGTTGTTAATAATTCTCACTAACAGACCCACTGCTAAGGAGAACAGACCGTTGCTAAGGAGGAGCAAGGGACTGTGTGCAGTCATATCAATCCGCATAAAGAAGTCCGGTCGATTTAATGTAATGTGTGGACAACAAACATTCATTTTTTCAGTGAATATGCACTTTTGTGTTTGTGGAGAGCACGAAAACGTTGGATAAATGATGGCTAAACTGTCCCAAGAAAATAAAAAGATAAAACAGTGTGTGAGAAGGAAAGAGGTTAAAAGAGAAGAAGACAAGGAAGTAAACTCTAACAGGGACACGGTATGGGCTCTGGCAGTGTTTAAAGTTAACGGAAAAGAAAATGTGAACAGACTTGTACATTAACAGCCGTGCTGCCGTCATGTTAAGTGACGTTGCTGTCGCCGCAGTACGCAGTGGAACGGACCATGTTTTTCTTTCTGAGCAGAAGCAATACAATAATTAAATTGAATTGAAATCAATAAAATACAGTTTAATTCAATCTTGTGAATCAAGTCGATAGTTTATTTAGTAGGTAGCCGTGTATTGGGCGGGATAGTTATCCTGTACTCAACAGTTGTATACATTCTTAGCTCTGGTGAGGCTCACTAAAGTCTAGACAAAATAACCCTGATGATGTCATCACGGTTATTTTTTGTAGGCTTCAGTGTTTTTTAGTTACAAGGACAAAGATTTCTCAGCGTCTGCTGCAGAGATGTCGACTACTCTTTACAGAAAAACTCTCTAAAAGTCTCTTATTAATCCCCTAAATGTATAGAATTATAATACTAAATCTCTAGATTACCCATTTCATTTATCAAAATAAAAATGTTGATACTGTTAAAATTGGAGACCCTTTTTTTGTATCTATAATGTACTAAGTATTTTATCAGGTATAATCTCAAGAGACCCATCAAAAGAAAAAAAACATTTTTAAAACTGAAAAACAGGAAAAAAAACTACATAATGAAAAAATGCAATAATCATGAAAAGCAACAGAAAATAAAACGTTAAACTCCTCAATGCAAGACAGTTTAAAGGTAGTTTACAGCTCAAACTATTTTAAAGGTGCAAAGTACCTATAACGTTTTCCAACAGTTGTGAGTATGAGGGATATTTGAGGTTCAGTAGTTTTAAAAGAGGCAAGAGATGTGGGTCAGTTTGAAAGCTTTGACTGTGAAGCTTTATAAATAAATGACATTAGGTGGCCTTCTTGTCTTGACTGTGAGGCCGTCGGTACATCCCTGAGATGCAGATAACGTGTGACATATAGCATATTAGAATTAACATGCTCTATTTACATGGCTATACATGTTTAGTTCAGTGATTAAATAAAATAAAAAGGTAAGTGGAAAGTCAGGTGATTAATCATTTGGGTACCATGTATTTCTTAATCCAAAAGCGTCACTAGTTGTTCAAGCTGGAAGTGTTGTGTAACAAACAATGTTTCCGCCATGCCCGCAGCCAAATCGCAAGCAAAGCAAGAAAATATAGCTTTACTTTGTATAAAATTCATTTAGTTTTCATTGCTGGATGATTGCCTGTAATAATGGTGGAATGGAGGCGGTATATAACCCACCTGAAGCGATGATTATGGCAAACCATGGGGAGAAATAAAAGAGATTAGACTGAGATCTGGAGGACAGATAGCACCGGGGGGGAGGGAACACTACCCCGAGCAGCATGGGTGGGAGGGGGGGGCACACCGGAAGCCTCTCTAAGAGGACTCAGTATCAACTGAAGTAGAAAGTACATCTTGCCAACACATCTTGTGCAGAAGTCTCCTAATGACTTTGTGCACATATTTTCTGCAACATATTATCACAAAGTTCTACTAAACTTAACTCACCCTCATAAATGTCTAGTGATCTATTTATTTTCTAAGTTTGTTATGTAAAAGGTTACTTTCATAGGTTTACCAGACTTTTATAAGAGCAAAATGAGATTCAGTTCCTTTAGATTATGATGTGAGTAGCTGCTGCTCAGCACAGACAGTATAACCCATGACACTGATGGATCCTCTCCACTTGCACTCACAAACCATCACATTCTCATATTAGCAGGTCTGTCTGACAGAGGCCGGTCAATGGAAACCAGTGCACAGAGTGCGTCTTAATCTGAAACTAAACGTTCTGAGGCTATTTACACTCTTTTTCTTCTTGTACCAGACTTGCACTTTGACAAGACCTGCACTAATAAGACATTTGAGCGATTGTCAAAGTGACAAAACCTGCAGTTTGTGGAATGTGTTAAAATACCTAATTTATCAGCAGAGCAAGGCTGATTTTTTAAATCTAGATCACCAGTTTAAATGTATTAGGGCTCCAAGTTGTTCATAATTAAGGTCACG